TAATATTTATATAAAACTATAAACACATCAGAATATAGAGAGTGTATTAGAAAACAAAATAAACTCAACTTTTCTGATAAAAGCATAAAGAATAATATTACTATTAATATCATAGTACAGTATTATACTGTATTCATTTGTGTTTTTAAACCATTTGTTTTATAAATGTAATTTAATACTGTATTAGGTTAGTTGGAATTTTAATAAATATTTTGTCAACTTTTCATAGTTATTGAAACCATTTTTTGCAATTGCTATTAATATAGTATTGATCATAAATAAGTATAAAATATATTAGAAATTATTTGTAAAAAAAAGTTTAATACTTTTAATATTTGCTTAATTATTAAGCATTTTCTCTTTTCTATTAATTATTCATTATCTTTGCTTAACAATTGAGGTTTTCTTAACAATTTTAGTTTGGAATTTAATGCCAAATTTAATTGAATCTAAATAATAAACATTGTATATTCTTTTATTTGAATGAGAGCTTAATGTTTTTTCGTAAAAATTATAGATATATATTCAGTAATTAATTTATTCATTTTATAGTATATAAATCTTTATAATAAATTATTTATTATAAATTAGATTTTATTAGATCTGATATTTTAATAATATTTATATAAAACTATAAACACATCAGAATATAGAGAGTGTATTAGAAAACAAAATAAACTCAACTTTTCTGATAAAAGCATAAAGAATAATATTACTATTAATATCATAGTACAGTATTATATTGTATTCATTTGTGTTTTTAAACCATTTGTTTTATAAATGTAATTTAATACTGTATTAGGTTAGTTGGAATTTGAATAAATATTTTGTCAACTTTTCATAGTTATTGAAACCATTTTTTGCAATTGCTATTAATATAGTATTGATCATAAATAAGTATAAAATATATTAGAAATTATTTGTAAAAAAAAAGTTTAATACTTTTAATATTTACTTAATTATTGCGTTTATAACGAAAAGCATTGCAGAAATCTCTTGGCTTTACACTTGTCACCATTAAACACAATATAATCAATTATTGATTTATTATTAAGCATTTTCTCTTTTCTATTAATTATTCATTATCTTTGCTTAACAATTGAGGTTTTCTTAACAATTTTAGTTTGCAATTTAATGCCAAATTTAATTCAATCTAAATAATAAACATTACATTACATTGTATATTCTTTTATTTGAATGGGAGCTTAATGTTTTTTCGTAAAAATTATAGATATATATTCAGTAATTAATTTATTCATTTTATAGTATATAAATCTTTATAATAAATTATTTATTATAAATTAGATTTTATTAGATCTGATATTTTATAATATTATTGAATTATACATTGGATTCCAAAAAATCATTTTTATCACTTCTAATGAGTGCGAGAATTGAAAGCATTGTCGGTATTGAAGGTATAAAAGGGACTGTAATTTGAAATTCTGGTCATTAATCGTTAGAAAAGTTTTTAAAATTATTGACAAATTCTTTGCAAAATTCCGATTCAGTCATGAATTCAAGTCATATCGAAGTGAACTCAGAGTCCGGCGAAGAGCAGACGACATCTCCCCTGCGATCGGGCGGTGAAGTCCTGGAGGCGAGACATCGGCGCCGAAGCCGTTCGAGCGGTCGAAAGGGCCGAAAGGGTCGCTCCCGGTCTGGGGGTCGACGCAGAAGGCGTTCCCATTCGAAGGGCCGAAGAAGTTGCCGAAGAAGGAGAGGAAGGAAATCGTGTTCCGGAGGAGAGGAAGAGTGAGGTGTCGTTCCCCTCGCGAGGACTCCACCAAAGAATTTGAACAAAATTGTAGTTTTATTTGGAAATTAGTTTGAAATAAAAGTCTTTTAAAACCAAATCTAATCT